ATAAATTTGCAAAAACGCCCTGAATGCTACCTAGAAGGGATATGTCCTGAAGTTAGATGTAATGAAAAGCCATTAGGAACTCTTAGGTTAAGTGGTCACAAACTGGCAGCCTTTTGTTGTAGAAATGAAGACAGAGTAGGTGGTGACTGGTGTAGTTCTATTTGGAAGAACAACGTTCAGTTTAATAAAAAAAATCTTTCCAAGCTTCCCCTGGTAAACATTTCATTACCCAACTTACATGCGTTACGTGCACAGAATGAACGATCTCCAGAATCTGAGATTTCGTTCATGATGGTCCATTTGGACGAATTACTTAGTGTTGTTTTACCCAAAATCGTCCTGAAACCTTGATTTTCACGCCTACTTTCTATCAGGAAATTTTAGTTCCCACGACAGAGGCAGAGTAGACTACGTTTCCTGCCGCTTTATCAGTTTACCGGCCGCACCTAGTGACATTTTCCAATGTCTATAAACACTTCTGACAGATTGACATTAATCAAAAGTTATATATAAAAATTGAAATTTTAGATTCAAATACGATTTCGGGCCAAATATTTCTAAGGTATGCTGATATATTAATCTTTTATTAAGGAAACACTTTTAGGTTATGTTTCTACCATCCAGATTCCAGAGGAACTAGAAAATTCAGAGATCATTTTGTGGGCTCTCTGTGTGAAACCAACCTACTGTGCATCAATAAAACCCATTCCTACTGTGCTGTGACGAGTTCAAGGAAAGTGCAGTCCACTAAGTGACAAGTGTAGTACCTACTATTAGCATTTTGTTTATAACGTATCGCTGCCGTTGTGAGCAGAAAGATGAGGAATGTGGGCATTGCGGCATTATGTAAATGTTTCGGAAGTTATAAACCATTGCATAGGCCATCAGCAAATAAATATCAAGTTAATGCTTGCTTGAAATCTTGACTGATTTTACGTTATTTGACCAACTCTTGCTGTAGTGGAATTTGAGACTAGTAAGTTCAACCGAGACAAAAACACAAGAAATTTTATTGAACTACATAAAATGATAATCAACATAAACTGATATGATCGTAAAAAGGTGAAAGATACTTTTCAGACTACGTAACATTCCATTTTGTTAACATAAAAGAAAATAAATTTTAATACACAGTTCTCGTGACTTAGGTAATTGCAGTTTTATTTATTGTCCAGTTAATCGTCATCACTCAACTATCATTTTCACCCAGTTTATAATAATTGGGACCATTTCTGCAATATCCAATTGTTTTTCGCGTTCATACCATTCCTTTATTAACTTTTCGGTGTGATTAATTGAATTTTTCCACATTTCTGAGGTTACAATCGCAAGTGCAAGTTTATTGTGTAACGAATCTTGAAAATCTGCTTTTCTCCACGAGTTGTTCGGATTTTGTGTCAATAAGGTGCTGTGGTAAGAAGCATTGTCCAATACGATCTGCATATCAAAGCTTCGTTTTGTTTAAAAGCTTGGGAAATTCTGCTGACCGTAGAAATGTTTAAATGTAATGCTGCCGCAACGCGCTGAAGGTAATCACAATTAGTAGAAGTAGTCAGAAGTAATTGAAACCATTCTTACCTCTCGAACTGAACCTAATGGTAATAAGGAACCCCCATTATCTCGTTCCTGTTCAAAATATTGAATTAAAGAGTCAAGGAGTTCCTTCACTTTACTGGTCAAATGTTTCGGCATTGTGGCGAGTACAAATGCAAATAACGGTAGAATGTACACAAACAGCAATTTTGTTCTGAACAGAACACATTTTTTTGCACTAAGAGTGAAGATGAATAATAACAACAACCACAAGAATAACCGAAAACTTTCACACGCAAAAACCGAACAAAAGTGTCAAATGTCAACAAATATTACAAATAACGTTTGGCAACATTGTAAAAAAAATTCCGAATCTGCCAACTTATTCTCCCAAAAAGTAACTAAATAATAATGAATATAAATCCGCCAAATCTTGATTTAAATTGGCATGCCATTTTCTTCTGTTGATGACGTGCAACGCTATTTATAGCGAAAACCGGTATATTATAAGGGAAAGGGGTAAATCTACGAGTAAAAAATATACTCGTGGGCCCACTTAGATTGCACCGTTTCGTAAAATTTTTTTCGCGTAGTCAACAGGAAACGTGGAAATAAACAAAACAAACGCGTGCACGTTGACGCGTTAAAGCAAATCCAAATTCAAGCGCTTGCGGTCGGACGTTGTTGAGGGATTAATTTTAAATGTAAGTGTATAGGATAAAAAATATTGTGTGCACCACGGCACGAAAGTTGTTTTCCAACAACCACTTTCCCGCCTTGGTACACAAAGTACTATTATTTACAGGTAGTCATTACATTGCCTGCCTGTGGGAAAAGAACATTCGAAAGACGTAAGATGGTTTGAAGTCAAGTTTAGCCCCGCGCCTTAATTATACTTCACAGACCACGGAAGGAGTTAGCACCATTTTTGTTGTTGCTGATTATTAAAGAAATTCATTGTTGTTTGTGCTTTTACTTGCTTTGCTTGAAAATGCCACCGTATTGAAATGCACGTGCATTATTTTTGCTGTTAAAACTATCACCTCGAGTTGAAATGTTGACAATTCACTTTTGCTTCTAGCGTAATTTTTCAGTAAGCTTGAACCGCTTGATCCACTTTCTCCAAAGGTAATATACTTAGATCATACAATACAGTGCAGGTCTAATAGGCTATATCACGCGTTGAATGGTGTTCTTGCAGGACTCTTATAGGAGCTGCATCAAAGATGTTTATTTCGTCGTTGCTCATTTATTACTAGGTAGGCACTAATTCTTTGACGCTGTATGAAAACATACTAAATGCTATGGCGTGCTTTAACACTGAAACTGAAATGTTTCGTACTGCACAAGGTTCATACGTGATTAAAGGGCTTGAATAAAATTTGGATTTCTTGTCTAAAAAAGTTTGGATATCTTGTCAAAAAATTTCCGAACTTTTTGGATATTTTGTCCAAAAAATTTGGATTTCTTGTCTAAAAAAAATTCGATATTTGGATATCTTGTCGCGCCACCGACAAGATATCCAAATCGGAGTTTCCAAATTGGTTGGATCTTTTGTCGCTTTATTTGGATTTGGATAATTTGTCGATAAAAATTGGATATCTTGACGAAAACAATCCAAATTATTTGGATAATTTGTCCCTAAAAAGTTGGAATTTGGATTTCTTGTCGGTCCCAATAAAGACCCAGAGTAAGTGAACGCAGCGCTTGACAGTAGCCTAGATATCTTTGAAAAAGCTCATTTGGTATTAAAAAAAATATGCCCTCCCCCCTAGACAAAACAAAATTTCCACCCATTCAAAAGAGAAAATTATATTCAACCGCAAAAGCTCAATAGGACCATCGTGTCACATTTTTCTTATATGTGTGAGTAATAATAAATAAATTGTAGTAATGAAGATGGTCAAATCCCGGTACTGCCAGGAAAACATTATATAAATGCGATTAATTATTAAGGATCCTCAGATCCTGTATAGTTTTGTATTGCCGTCCGTCCGTCTGTCCGCCTGTCCGTTCGTGTGCGCTCTAACTCTGTTTAAAAGTGGCCGATTGTGTTGAAATTATGGTGTACGAGTACTTTGGACTTTAAGGACAGACGCTATTGATTTTCAGGAAACTGGTTCAACAGGAACAAAAGTTATAGGACTTTGAGTGAATCGGGAACAGGAAAAACTACGGGCTCAATATAATAGAAATCAACATATTTCATTCCATAAGTCATGTATCGAGTTCGGACTTTCGCTAGATTATTGCCTATGACCAATCTCTCCTCTGTGGTATAGGTAAAAAGTTTTAGAGCAAAATGTACCCAAAATTATTTTTTACACATGAATTTGGAGTTTTAAAAGTTTTCAAACGCATTATCTTGATGCTGAAAGAGTGCATCACGTGCACATTTGATAACCGCATGTGTATGATACAAAGATGTTAAATTAAAGGCCACACGCATTTTGATCAAAACACATCAAAATCGTTATTTATGCACCACGTTGGGAAAAAGACCAAGGGCATTATCTCCATGATAAAAACATGAATTTGATCTATTTTTGGCGACCACATGGATTTTGATCAAAACATGTCAAAATTGTTATTCTTGCACTGATAATGTTGGGAACAAGATGAAGAGTATTATCTTAATGACCAAGACATGAATTTGATGCATTTTTGTTAACTATAAATTGTATTATGTAAGATTGAAATAAATTAGGTTTGTCGTTAAAGTGATTGTAATACTGAGAATGCTTGGATATTTCGTTGTATCGGTCTATTCTATTGTAATTTCACAGTGGCCGAGACATGATGCAAAACCACATCATGGGGTTGTATGCGACGTTGATAATAAGTCGACCAATTACCTTGTAAGTTGTGACCCCCTAAGAAAGGTTATTTGTGGGATTTGCAATTTCAATTAAGAAGTTACAATTAATAAGATGATGGATGATACAAGGCAAGCTATAAATAATTCATAACCTATCACATAATTATTTAGTATTGAAGCATTATTTTTCTTGAATAAAAGTATTAACAAATTAATTTATAAATATCAACTTAAGTATGCAAATTTTTAAGCGGCAATATTGAGTTTGTTTACTTTGTGAAGGTGAACGTATCTTCAAGGATTCATGGATTATATACCAATTATTCATTCCGATTTTACATTTTATTATTGTTTAATGTTCGATAGAAAGTACCCTTCTTTAATCATTCACTTGTCAACCGACGGCGACTTGGTTGATATTATCCTACTTTGACATTTCACCTCCTATTTTGTCAAGATTTCTTTTAGAAAAACCCAACTTATGTAGAAAAGTCTTATCTTTTTTAGTGTCCAAGGTCAAACGAATATTATCTACCAATTATTATTATTCAGTATTAATTATATGGGAATATCGAAACGATGAACGGTTGAGTCATGGGTTTCTCATCCTATATTAAAACTTATATAGATTCTATTTTTTTTATTATTCTCCTACTCCTCTATATATGGTTTACTAATATAAGTTCAAGTTTCGAGCCAAACCATTTTAACACAACTCTCTCGTCGTAGTACATGGTTCAATTTGTAAATAAGTAATTGAAGAGGTTTCTCCACTCGTTACAGTATGAAGTAAGTGACATTTTTTTCAAGTCTAATTCTGTTACGTGACAATATTTTGCAGGCTAAGACAAGTTAAGGGTTCGGCAATATCCGGGCTGTTTTATTGTCTACTGATCTTCGTTTTGGGACAAAAGTTAGAGGGCGGAAACGCCGCAGAAAGTGAATGTGGTAGGCAGCATGCCGACCTGGGTTCTCGCGTTTCTGTGCCCGGTGACGATCACGAAGCCCAATTTGGAGAATTTCCCTGGATGGTTGCAGTACTTAGGAAAGAAAAACACGATGGTATCGACTTGTCGGTTTATACATGCGGAGGTTCCCTCATTCATCCTCAAGTAGTGTTAACCGCCGCACACTGTATGGCCGATGTAGGTAAGGAGTATAAAGCACGTGTGGGTGAATGGGATGTACAAACAAAAGCGGAAATCTATCCGCATCAAGATCGAAATGTCACAACTATCATTGTACACCCTGAGTACAAACGAAATCCGTTATTGTACGACTTGGCCCTTTTAATATTGGATTCACCAGTGACAATAATGGGAAACGTTGATGTTGTTTGTTTACCGGATAAAAATCAACTGGTTGATAATAATTTATCGTGCGTTTCGGGCGGCTGGGGAACCAAAGGCAAATTCTACAATCTGCTACAAAAAGTTGAACTTCCAATAGTAGACACGGAGTCTTGCCAAACGAGGCTTCATACATCCTTGGGAACGCAATATCAATTGCACGAGTCATTCCTTTGCGCCGGCGGAGATCCTGGAAAAGACAGGTGTAGAACTGATTTTGGTAGTCCTTTAGTCTGCCAATTTCCTGAGAAGAAAGATAAATATTTTCAAGCCGGAATATTGTCTTGGGCATTGGCCTGCAGTGAAAGCTCGGTGCCCGCTATGTACTCTAGTTTAGTGAAAGCAGTGGATTGGATTGATAAAATTATGATTGATAATAACTTTAGTACATCCGTATATAAGAATTGAATGTAGATCTGGATTATTTTTGCATGCTAAAGTACATCTAATTATCTAATATTGTAACATTGTAAACTAACATCACATTTTGTAATAAATATTACCCAAAATCGCCTTGAAACCTTAATTTTCATGCCTACGTTCTGTCAAGAAAGTTTTTATTTCCATGACAGAGGCAGAGCAGACTACGTTTCTTGCCGCTTGTCACTTTACTGGCCGCACCTGTCACTTTGCCGGCCGTACCGTCACTGTACCGGCCGCATCTGTGACTCTGACTCATCACTGACAGATTGACATTAATCAAAAGTTTTATATGAAAATTATATTTTATTATTATATTATATTATATTATATTATATTTTGTAATACACCTACAAATTCAGTATAATTTAAAAAATTTAAACAATAAACATGTACAATAAATTAATATAGCACAATCGTCAATCGCGTGGTCACTTCTCTGTAGGTTCGTCTCTCATGTCAAAAACGCTGTACACGTTGACGTCACTTCCTGTGGTTATGCATCCGACGTCACTACACCCCCGCACTTTGCTTAAACTAATACAACATGTAATCAACAATAAAATACAAGTATACACAGATACAATAAATTAACATCGTCTACTAGAACAAAATATGGATTTTTCTTACGTGTTGTACTTGGCGGGTATTCTTCCTTTCCTGTCAACGTGTATTAATTGAACTGCTATAGGTTAAAATCTATTGATGATTAGATTGAGGTCAGCATGTTTATTTTTGAACAGTGCTGCTTTAAGGCCCTTTTTCAAACTTCTTACTGCATTCTCCGCGCCGTTTGTTGCTGGATGGAATGGAGTTGATGTTATATGCCTCACGCCGTTGTTCTTTAAAAATTTTTCAAATTTTTTCCTCTAGTGAAGGTCCATTATCCGAAACTACGCAGTCTGGGATTCCCCATCTGCAGAATGTATCTCTCAGTTTGTCCATTGTCATTTGTCAATTCTGTCGTAATGTTCTTCATCTTGAATATCTCTGGCCATTTGCTGTAGGAGTCTATAATAATTAAGTAATATACATTATTGATAGGACCGCAAAAATGCATGTGTATCCCCTGCCATGGCATGTCCGTTCTGTTCCAAGGCGTTGGGATGGTATAACGGGCTGAATTGGGCGCTAATAGAATGCCGGTACTGCTCCGGTCTAGTTCTACTCTCAAGGCGATGGTGTAGCTCAGGCTCAGGGATTTTCAGGTGTAGATTGACAAGAGATGCGCCACTGTGTTTTAAAAGAAAGGGAAACACAGAAACTCCTGAAAGAAAAATAGGAAGGGAAAGAGGCAAGCGCCTCGAGATGTAATCTTGGTGCTCAGGCAATAATAGTGGACTTCTCTACCTTGCTATATAATGTATTATTATTACCCAGGAATTTTGCTCCTGGGTGTACTCCTTACATAACACTGACTTTAAGGAGGTTTCACAGTTTAATGAGTGATGATCTTGGACTGTATAAATATAGGTACGCTAGGCGTATTTGTTGTTTATGGTTATTATAAAGGTGGCATACAATGACGAGAATAACAAATATGGATTAACAAGGGGTAAGTTACATTCAATTTATATTTTACACGAGGATATAACCTCAGTGTTCGTTACCGCTGATAACTTTCTGGACGACACACACAAAAGGTAGTCTGATCTTATCTGGGAGGACAGGATAACGCTCTAGTTACGTCGGCTCGGCTACTGGACATTGTCTTCTCCTCGACGGTTGTAGTGGACCCCCAGCGGAACTACTCGGGTAGCTCAATTGACAGACGTAAGCCAGGCACGACACAGATAACGTAGACGAAAGGACGTAGAAGAGGAATGCCGTACAAAACGGATTACAAAATAGATATCTTTAAAAACGCTGCAAGTAGGAGGTTAGCCAAAATGTTAATAAGTAATTAAATTAACTTACTTGTAAGATCGAAGGCGAGCGTGAAGTGAACCAAACCAAACGGGTAATAAGATGCGTAACAACCAGAGCCTTTCTAAAGGATGGTACAAGACGGTAATTAACTATCCAAATTCGTAGTAAATTGCTCTTAACGAGTAAAAATTTAATAACTTAATAGGAATATTCACATTTTTCTTTCAGGTCACGGTCAGAACATGTTTATACACGCTACAATAATTGACCGGACCGTGAGCGGACCGTGATCTGACCGATAACCTTTAAGCAGTGTCGTGTTCTGGATGAAATGCACACACTCGCTTACGAATTGAAGAGTGCTACCTGGCGATTAGCTGGAACAGATCTATGACATTCTATGTAAGTCCGAAAAATAGTTAAGCAGATGTTATCTCTATTAACGGAAATTGCAAACGTGCAGGTAACCTGTTGGTAATCGCTTTTGTCGGGACGAATTTCTCTGCAATTGGTATTACACAGACAGACAAACGGACGGACGGACGGACAGACAAAGTTGGTACAGTAGCTCCTTTTTTTTAAATTTTTGTTGTAATGAGCTAAAAATCTAAAAACGGAATAACACATTGGCCAAGAATTTTATATTTGTTGATTTTGTTCTGGTTAAAGATCAAAACTGCATTGTATTAACTTTTTCCTTTAACCAGAAAAAAATCAACAAATTTAAAATCAGCTAACAAGATCGAAAAAAGTCTTCTTGGTGCGTTAATTACAGGTATTAGCCAAGAATTGTAAGAAGAATGAAGCTTACCTCTGATTGAGGTTTTTTAGCTTATGTTTTGTATGGGAATTTACCAGGTTTGCCAAGTAGAAAAGAAGACGAGTGGTGTCGCGTCTTAGTGTTATACGCATGTTACGACACTTATTATTTAGAAATTGTACGTTTCCTTCACTGTCTCGTTTTCCCTGAATAAAATTTCAAATAAAATAAAAATTCGGGTAGGTATGTGGTGCCATCTCATTGAACTGAAATAATATTATACGAACACAGCTAACTTTCATTTTCCACAGAACCAGAATTTTTTAAAATGCATGACTATAATCATTATTATAGTTGTTGGGCATGGAAAGACCACATAACGCCACTATTGTTTTGTTCGAAAAACAGGTTTAATTAATGCGCTTTTCTTAGAAACTCATTTACACTCAAAGGAGTCAAAGGTGGAAGAGATTGCAAATTGGGGTAAGTATTCTTAAACCCGATTGTTGAGAAATATTGATTTAGGTATGAATTACTGAATTTAAAAAATGTTAGTAATACAGCACAACCGAATTTTTTACGTCAACTATAATTTCGGAGCAATGACATAAACTTTTGTTTTGTGTAATATATTGCTATGTGCACTGATCCGTAGGCCAGAAAGACCGTACACAAAACACCAAAACAAAAACCTAGCTAGCTCTTTACCTTCACTTATTATCCCAGCACAAAACTTCTCCCAACACAGAGGAGAGATTCAACTCTGCTCTCAGTTAACCTGTTAACTTCTAACAGATAGTGGGTCAAACCAAATACCTTAAACTCCAAACTGAGCAGCAATGAATAATTAAAATGGACCTTGGGCAAGCCTCCAATAAAAACACAGGCAAGTTAGAAATGAAGTCGTTAGAATGAAACACACGACAAAAAATTAATGTGGGAATTACACAAGGGAAATGGTACGAACACAAAAACAAATATTACAAAAACAAAACTAAAATTAAGACTTAATTACTTACATTGCATGTCCGGGAATTGTAAACCAAATAAAAAGGTATCCGTACACAATACACAAAAATTACAATTTTCAATAAACTCACTTTACAGTTTACACTAACAATCGGGTAATCGCAGCAACTTCACACAATTGATAACAGATAACCAGATAAACAAGATAAACGAGATAAACAAGATATAACAATTGATAACACATAAAGACCAATACAAAATTGTCGGAAATGCCTACGTTAAATAAAATAAAAATTACCAAAGTCCTCGTGTGAGATCGAAGGCTCTTCAGCGCATTTTTGTGTGGTAGATCAGTATTCTATTAGCCACTTTCGACTCAACCATCAATAACAGATCCTGTCGAAGGCTACTACATTCACTAACCGTTTCTCACTTTCCGCGTGCACTCGCAATTCGCTTTTAAAGTTAAAATCGTGTCGGGGGCTACCACATTCCCTTTGACGGTAGCCACTTCCGACGTCCCGTTCACCCGCAATTCGCTTCTATTGGCGACACGAGAAAGAGAGACAGCGATTCGAGATTTACGAAACGTTAAACCGCGTGAGTTCGCAACGGAAGGTAAAAGGCGCCCGAAGTTGACTACTTCTCGAAGACGCGCGCGCGCGCCTCGCAAAAGGTCGTTATTTTCGCCCCTAGGACAAAAAACAAAATTCCGCCACGCAGGAGTTGTGCGCGTTTACAACATCTTTCCGACGACACCAATTTGAAAAGAATCGGACCAAAACTGTAGTAGAAGATAGGAAAAAACTGAAAAACCTTCACGTTAGTATACTACGCTCGAGGATGACGCCCAGATGTCGCCAACCCCACATCATGTAGCCATGTCCCTAAGGTTGACAAATTTCACGGCCTTGTAGATACACGTACACCCGTTGCCTTTCTACAAGAGTTCTTCTACGCGCCCACATTTGCAGCCAGCCAGCCAGCCAGCCAGCCAAAGTGAGATTAAAAGCTACTTTTTACAAATAAATTTGCAAAAATGCGCTAAAAAGGTAAAAAAAAGCAACCCTAACCGCTTTCTCGTATGACATAATAATTTCCATCCTGTTACATAGACCAACGACAAATAAATAAAATTTAATTACAAATATTAATTACACCAAAGGAGACCGCCCTTGTCCATCTTAATTAAGATGTCCGAAAATTTCATCTTGCCAGACGAAATAAACACAGTAATACCTATAGACTTATTTCTCAATCAAATTTGGTTCATAAAAAACAATTTTGACACATTTTTGTAAAAATTCTCGTTGCCATTGTTGCCCATTTGCCTGAAACAGAACTACAAAAATCGCTCTCTTTAGTCGAGTTACCGTAATTTCGGACTAACAAAGTGAAAAAATATGACTTCATTCAGACTTTTCTGTATAGCCTAAAGGTTTGGTAACAAAGCTTCAATAATAATCTTCAATCATCTTGTCGTTCGCCCTAAATTAATACTC